CGCCTTCTGCTTCTCCCGGGGAATCTGGCTGCCAATCAGAGGCCTCAGGGAGCTTTGGAAGCGCTGGGCTTGGACTTACATACATCTCCATAAACATACCTTCTCGTGATTTTAATATAAATTATTCTTTTTAATTTTTTAAAAAAATATATTTTTATTGATTTCAGAGAGGAAGGGACATAGAGTTAGAAACATTGATGATGAGAGAGAAACATCAATCAGCTGCCTCCTGCACACCCCCTACTGGGGATGCGCCCACAACCAAGGAACATGCCCTTGACCGGAATCGAACCTGGGGACCCTTTAATCCGCCGCTCTATCCATTGAGCCAAACCGGTTTCAGCAATGGTGCTTTTTAACGGGCTGTATCAGTCACTCACCACATCGATGGGCACCTGCTCTGTACCGGCTCTGGGCTGAGAGTAGCACCAGGTGAAACCATGCCCACAATTCTGGGCCCTGCCTGAATCTCATCCCCGGGGACCCTACAGTCCGCAGGCCGGCCCTCCGTTCACTGAGCAAACCAGCCAGGGCCCACCTGGTTCATCTGGAAACTGAATCCCGCTTCCCCTCAGTTAGTAAGCTGCCTGCGTGGCCACAACTATGAGAGGCCTAGCCCTGGCTAGTTTGGCTCAGTGGACAGAGTGCGAGCCCATGGACTAGATTCATAGGGGTGTCGAACTCAATCAGAGAAGGGGCCAAAATCTAAAATCCAGCCTAAATCGCGGGCCGAATGGTTTACTGAACAGTCATAAACTGTCATTGTGATGGAAACGCAGCAGAGTGCAGTGATGACAGCACGGTGCGGGCCACATTGCAAGGCCTGGCGGGACGGATTTGGCCCGCGGGCCTTGTGTTTGACACATGTGGAAGGTCCCAACACTCATCTACATTGGGTGAGGTTGGAAGTGGGACCCACTCCTCTCCTATCATTGGGTGATGTTGTATGTGGGTCATGCCCCTCAACTACCATTGGGTGAGATTAAAAGTGGGTTCGGCACCTCAACAATCATTGGGTGAGGTTGAAAGTGGGTCCAGCCCCTAAACCATCATTGGGTGAGGTTGGAAGTGGGTCCCGCCCCTCATCAACCATTGGGTGAGGGTGGAAGTTGGTCCTACCCTCAAAGCCCATTGGTTGATTTTGGAAGTGGTTCCCGCCCCTCAACAATCATTGGGTGAGGTTGTATGTGGGTCACGCCCCTCAACTACCATTGAGTGAGATTAGAAGTGGGACTGGCTCTTCAACAACCATTGGGTGAGGTTAAAAGTGGGTCCTGCCCCTCAACATCCATTGGGTGATGTTGGAAATGGTCCCATCACTCAACAATCATTGGGTGAGGTTGTAAGTGGGTCCCACTCCTCAATAACCATTGGGTGAGGTTGGAGGAGGGTCCCAACAATTAACAAACATTGGGTGAGATTAGAATTAGATCCCACCCCTCCTGCATCTTCAAATGACCCTGTAGGCACTACCCTTACTGCTAAACCACATCCATATTCCCACTCCATGAAAATAGGAGCTCTCAGGGTTGTGTATGGAGCTGCCACATTTGGGGTAGCTTGCTCGCAGCATTAGATAACCAACTCGAAGGTGGAGTACTAAGAACAGTGCCTGTCAGGTATTAGGTACCAGAATCCTTGCTAAACACATCAATGAACAGAAAGAAAAGTAAATTCTAAGGGGAGAACCGACTACTCCAAACCTCCTTTAGGTTAAGGCAGCAGACAAGTCAATTACAGAAATACAGATCTCTCTGAACAACCCCACCTTTAGGCCCAGCCCTTTGACCGGTCCCGCCTCCTCCTCACTGCTCATGCCCAATCTACCCTCAAGGACCCGGGGCAATTGTGTCATCCCAAAGCTCTTTCCCCCAATCAGCCTTCTTTCCATTACCAGGAGTCACTGTCTCTCTCCCAATGCTCAGACTGTGGGATGGAAATCACAACAGGTGGACAGTGAAGACCCTGGCAGACACCCTAGGATCCTGGGGACCAAGGCCAACATCAACAGGACCCACTGATAAATCGTGTTGGTATCACGTGCTCTGACTGTGTGCAATGATCATGCTTCACACATGTGGTGCTCTTCCCTACACCTCAGTCTATTATGAGGAAAACATCAGAGAATCCAAATGGCATCCTTCAAAACACAGGACCAGCACTGTTTAGCCACACACGGCCCAGGGCGGCCCTGAGAGGGGGCGGCTGAAAGGCTCAGAAAAGACAAGAGAGAATGAAAGCTGGGTCTCGGTGGGATGCTGCTTCCTGAGAGACAGCACCCAAGCCCACAAGCCGAGTCTTTATTTTGTAGCAGATGCCACGAGGAAAACTAAGGGCTTGGTCAAGATGCTTATAGCATTCTCAAGGGTTCCCATCCCACTCCATCACATGCACCTGCTCAGCCTGTATCACTCAGGCAAGTGGGGCCACGTGTTCAGACCACAGGTTCAAGCTAACAACTCCAGCTGTTGGATAGAATTGTGCTGGGAGGCTCTGCCTTCCCAGCTGGGACAGGCACATGGCCAAGAGAGGACTGGGTCCTCTCATGAGTCCCGGTCTTGAATCTGTCCAAATGCTGTAGACCCTCCCACACAGCACCCTCCAAGCCCGTCAAGGTCATTAAAAACAAGGACGCCTGGGAGACACTGCACAGACGGGGCTAAAAGCAGCGCCGGGTTCGGGTAGATCCTCCAACAGAAGAAGGCCATTAGTGAAAGGCTGGGGAAACACAAGTCTAGAGTCCGGTTCAAGCACGGCACCGGCACTCACTTGTTAGCTGTGCCGGCGCCGGGGTTATGGAAGCCGTGAACAACCGGAGAGACTGGCTATGCAGACCTGTGCGCAGGAACCCTGTCCTCACTATGCAATTGTGGGGGAAATCTAGAATTATTCCAAAATAAAAAAATTATTTTGAAAAATGTAATGAACAGCTCTGGCCAATTATGCTCAGTGGTAAGAGCATCAGCCCAAGGACTGGTTTGGGGGTCCAACCCCTCAACAGCCATTGGGTGAGGGTGGAAGTGGATCCCACCTCTCAACAGCCATTGGGTGAGGGTGGAACTGGGTCCGATTCTGGAGAAAACCTTGGGGATTCTTGAGGGTCCAAGAATCAGGTGAGGAACATCATTGGAGGTGCCCAGAGCCCGCCTCCCTCCTATGACAGTCCCACCCGCCTTGAATCTGGGAGTCCGTTCTTATGAGCGGGTGAATCTCCACTTCTCAGCAGGTGGCGCTACTGTCCTGACTGTGCTGAAGGTTGCTAGGAGACCTCAGAGGAAATCAAAGTGGCTCACAAAAAAAGCACCTAAATACAAAAAGGCCAAATGTGAGGAATTGCCCAATGTCACCCAATTAATTCAATAAAAAATAAATAAATGACATGCATATAAGTACAACCAACGGACACAAAACTCTGGGGAGGGAGGGGATGTGTGGGAGGGAGGGAGGGAAGGGGGCAAAAAAAATCAATAAAATATATTTAAAAAAATAATAATAAATAAATAAATAAATAAAAATAAAATAAATAAATAAATAAATAAATGGAGGCAAAAAATTTCCATAAAATAGAAAACAAATAGCTAAGTGACACCTGGTTCCTTTCCTATTGCTACAACAAATTTATGATCAGGCCAACACAGAAGGGAAGTCTTTTTCTCCCCTAGGTTCTAGGTTTTGTTGTTGTTGTTGTGTTTTGTTTGTTTGTTTTGTGTGTTTTTTTGGTGTTTTTTTGGTGTGTGTGTGTTTGTGTGTGTGTGCGCGCGCGCACGTGCGCGTGTGTGTTTTGACGAGCTTTATTACATTGTTGGTGTCATGTGGGGGAGAGTCCTATTCGCCTGGGCTGTTAATTTGATGTGTTATAGTGTGTTTTTCCTAAAGTGGGTCTCCCCAGGGTTTTGGTGAGCCCGCTGGGAGACCACGGGCTGGGCACTGCTGCTCTGGGGCCGCTGACAGACCCGGGACCTGGGACAGGCACCCGCAGGGGGAATTCTTACCCGTCTCCATCTGGTGGGAGTGAGAATTGTGAGCTCCTGTCTCTTTCTAAGTTTAGATGAACGGAAAATATTTGTGCGAGAATTTGTTCTCTCCTGTTAAAGTGTTTTATGTTCCTGTGATTATTAGACCCAAAAAGAGCCTAGAAGGATAGGGGGACGTTTTCCTCCCCACACGGCATTCTGCTTCATCTGCTTCCCCATCTTTATCAAAAGCCTGTCTGCCTCAGTGCTCTGAAGTGCTGCCTCTGTTATGAACCAAATGCCCGTCTGCTCAGGATTCTGCTTCTGGGTTCTGTCTTCTATGGTATCTCTGTATCACACCCAACGGCCCTCTGTCTTACTTACGAGGGTTTTGTAATAGGTCTTTCTGTTGTAGAACAGTGAGAAGCTAGGAAAATTCCAGGGAAAGTGTATTCAGGAAACTAGCAGTTTGCAGCCACCTCGTAAATCCTATCTTCCCTAAACCAAGGACAACCAAGAGCCCTTGCTAGTTTGGCTCAGCGGACAGGGTGTGGGGCTGCGGACTGAAGGGTCCTGGGTTCAATGCACATGCCAGGTTGCAGGTTCCATGCGTGCTGGAGGCAACCAATGGATGTCTCTCTCTCACACCCATGTTTCCCTCTCCTCCTCCCTCCCTTCCACCTTTTCTAGAAAATCAATGGGGAATAAATACCTTCGGGTGAGGATTAACAAGTAAGGGGGGGGGGGATTTATACTTATTTTTGCAATTAATGTCGGCCATGCTCCTATGATCATTGGTACTCAAGGCTGACAAGCTTTAACTGACGAACTCCCTCCACCCTCCACCCCTCCCCACCCGCAGCACAGAAGCAGGAACAGGGCGGGGGCGGGGCGCCGCGAGCGCGGAGGGTTTGGCTACAAAGCCGCGGGCCGTTTCTAGGCGGGGTCCCCGGGGCTCTCGCGCAACGTTATCGCGCACTTCCGCCTTCCCTGAGCACTGCTGATTGGCTGGGCTGGCCCAGCGCGAGGCCTGCCGGGAGTTGTAGTTCTTGGGACGGGGCTGGGGATGCCGGGAAGGACCGCGGTCCCAGGCTGGGATCGGCGGTTGCGCTAGCCCCGCACGCCTGGCACCATGTCCCGCGTGTTGGTGCCCTGCCACGTGAAGGGCACCGTGGCGCTGCAGGTGGGCGATGTGCGCACCGCCCAAGGCCGGCCCGGCGTGCTGGTCATCGACGTCACCTTCCCCTGCGTCGCGCCCTTCGAGGTGAGCCAGCCCCTTGGGCGACCGCGGTTCCCGTGGTTCCGGGCGGGACCGACCTGGGAGCCCGGGCGTGCCCCCGGCGCTGGGTCGGTCACTTGAAGCTTGGCGCTGGCCTCGCCCTGGCGCCTCAGTCAGCCACTGATTCATTTCTGCAGTTCACACACTCACCAGAAGGCATCTCTCCCCTGGTCCAGGGCAGCGCTGGCGGGGAAGGGCCACGGTAGCAGGCGAGGTGTTGGAAATACAGGGGTGAGCCCTGTATAGGGGGGTGGTTTTGTCCTGGGAATCTAGACAATGAGTTACCCCAGATCTGCCTCCTGCGCAGGCCTACAGCCTGCTCAGCAGGATCTGCCCAGCGGCTCCAGCTGCACTGCCAGCTGCACAGTGACCGGACCGGACCCCGCAGGACTTCGACACAGAGGATCAAGTTCATTTTCTTTTTATTTATTTTTTTAACTATATTTTTTATTTATTGATTTCAGAGAGGAAGGGAGAGGGAGTGAGAGAAACATCAATGATGGGAGAGAACCATTGACCATCGGCACGCCCCACACTGGGGATGGGGCCCACAACCGGGCTAAAATCCGTTTCTGCTGGCCTGGCATTCAGGGCCACTTTGTGTCTGTGCCTGCCTACCTCTCAGCCCTGTGCACGCTCCCCCAGCTGGGACGTCCTGGTGCAGGAGGTGTGGGTGTTCTGATGAGCATCTAGTGATGAGAGCTGCTGTAGCCAAACATCCTCCCTGTCTACATCCTCTGCCTTTCTCATCCGCTGGGTGGACTCTTCCCTTCGGGCCTCACGTGTCCATGTCCCTCCTCCCCCCGAGTTGGGGCTCTGACCCCCTGGCAGCGTCCTGGGTGCGACCTCCTCACTTAGGCTGTGAGCTCCCTCAGGAGAGTGACACTGAGCCTCAGAGGACGCTGAGCAGATTGGCAGCAGAGGACATACCCGAGGGGAGGAGGCGACGGGGCCTGTGAGGCGGCTCAGGCCCTGGGCCCAGGCCTGATCCGGGACGGTGGGCTGTGTGTGCTGCAGCTGCAGGAGATCACGTTCAAGAATTACTACACGGCCTTCCTGAGCGTCCGTGTGCGCCAGTACACCTCGATCCACACGCAGGCCAAGTGGGTGACCTGCCTGCGGGACCACTGCCTCATGCCGGACCCCCACAGCGAGGAGGGCGCTCAGGAGTATGTATCGCTGTCCAAGCACCAGGTCAGCGGGGACAGGGCACGGCCGGGTGGCCGGCTGAGGGCTCGCCGGGCGCCTGAGAACTGGGCGGGGATACCGGGAGCGGGGAGGGGGGCCGGGCTGTCCTGGGCTGTGGCTCTTGGGGAACCGCCTTGGAGGGACCAATGTTCTTCCCCGAAGGCCCAGGAGGCGGCCGCTCGACTCACTGCCTGTTGGGAGGCCCGGGGTGGTGAGCGGGGCTCGCTGGGGCCTTGTGTGTGTGTGTGTGCCAGATGCTGTGTGACGTGGCCCGCGTGCTGGAGCTGCGCCTGATCCTGAGGCAGCCCTCGCCCCTGTGGCTGTCCTTCACCGTGGAGGAGCTGCAGGTCTACCAGCAGGGGGCGAAGGTGAGGGCTCGCTCAGCTGCGGCCAGCCGTTCCCTAGGAGGCTGGCAGAGCTGGGTGGGGGGTCCCGATGACCGGACCCCGAGGGAGGCTGTCATGGAAGTTAGCCAAGAGGGCGAGTGGGAAGCTCAGGAGAGGGACGCTAGGTCCCCACGGCCCCGATCTCTGGAGCCCCCCACCTCTTTCAGAGCTGAGATATTCTGTTCCTTGTGTTCCTGGGGCCTCCCTCACATCTTAGGGAGTCTGACTGCCCTCGGGGCCTTTGTGGACCCTGAACAGGCTTTTCTCAGGGGTCGAGGCTCCCAGGACCTCGGACACCGGTCCCAGGACCCTGCCCCTCTCCCTCCCTCCCTCCGTGCTTTGCAGAGCCCCTCCATGACCTTCCCCAAGTGGCTTTCCCACCCAGCGCCCTGCGAGCAGCCCGCGCCCCTCGCTGAGGTAAGCCTCACCCCGGGGAGGAGCCGCCAGCGAATCGCTCTCGTGTCCAGGTGGGCCCGATCCGCAGGGACCGGGGCTGGGCCTGGGGCCCCGGGCACACTGTGCCATCTTCCCGGTCTCCCTCCTGGAGGTCCAGGGACTTGAGGTCTCTCCGTGTGGGCTGCTCCGACCTCCTATTTCCCGAGCCAGCTGGGAGTGTGACCGGTCTCAGCCGGAGGGCCCCATTGCCGGCCTGGCCTCCCCGGAGCTCAGAGGGCACGGCTGGGGGACACCCCCGGCCACTGACCCCTCCTTCCGAGCAGGGCTTCCCGGACCCCAGCAAGGTGTCCTCGGAGGTGCAGCAGATGTGGGCGCTGACGGAGATGGTCCGGGCCAGCCGCACCTCCAGGAGGATCGGCCGCTTCGATGTGAGTGACAGCGCGTCCCTCTGCCCGACCCCCGTGGCCCCGGCCGGCCAGGGTCAGACCTGATGGCTTCTGTGTTGCAGGTGGATGGCTGCTACGACCTAAACTTGCTCTCCTATACCTGAGCCGCTCTTACCCCAGACGCTGACCTTCCGGGCCAACCTTGGGCCGCCAGAGGCCAAAGTGCTTCCCCGCTGCATTCTGCGTTCCGCCTGCCTGCCTGCGCGTTCTGCCGGGGCCACGTCCACAGTCAGGATTCTCGGGGCTCACTGCGCGGCTTCAGCCTGAGCGCTGGGTGTGGGGTACACTCTGTCCGCACCTGGCTGCACCCTGAACGCCGTTCCCCGCCCTAACGACACTCCAGTCCCACTAACAAGAGCCCCTGTGTGCCCGGGGCCCCTCCTGCCAGCCCGCTCACTGCTGCCGCTGCCTGCCCCTGCCCTGAGCACTGTGGGCCGGGTGCGCTCCCAGCACCGGCCCGTCCAGCCCTGGGCGACTTCCACAGGAATGTTCTAGTTTATCTGAGCCAAACTGACCTCAGGCCAGGAGGCAAGACCTCGGTGCTCTGCACGGCACTCAGCCTCGAAGCCCAGGGGGAAGCGGGAGCCCTGGTGCCCACAAGAGGCCTCCCCTATCCGAGCACCGGATAGCCCGGAGCAGAGCTGGCCACGGCCGCAGGAGCCCAGGTCTCTGAGCGGCCTTCGGGTGTGTGTGCACGTGGTCTGCCCCTGGCCTGGGCAGGTGCCTGTGGCAAGGCTGGGGCCTGAGAATGAGCCCTGGGATCTGCTTGCCATCTGACCCAGCCCAGCGTACATCCTCCTCCTCCTCCCAGCTGCTCCTTCCAGAAGCCTCAAGGCAGCTGCTCCCCGCGTGTGTGTGTGTGTGTGTGTGTCCCTGTGTGTGTCTGTGTGTGTGTGTGTGTGTGGCCCTGGCGGCTGTAGGAGGCAGCAGGCAGCAGTTGCTGGACCTGGAAAAGGAGGTGCTTGTGTGGCCCCACAGCTTCCTGGGAGGGTGAGCCCCCAGTGGGCCCCTCTTCTCTCACCGGATCAGATAAACCAGCAGGGTTCTCACCAGGGCCCCTCAGCGCCACTCACTCTGTTCAGCTGTTGCTAATGAAGCAGAGCCCGGTGAGCAGCAAGATCAATAAACACTGGAATGCTTGGCTGCTGCTGCCTGTGTGTGCAGGGGTGAGGGATGGGGGGACGGACGGGGACCCCTGTGTGTCCAGGTTCCTGTGCTGCCCCTGGCTCCCTCCTGTGTCGTCTCCACCTTTCCCCCTCCTCTCACTTGACATTCCATGTCGGGAACATGCCATTCAAGCCTGCAGCCCTCTGTCTGAACTTTGGCCCCGGGGGCTGGGCGGTCAGCACGGGGAGGCCTGGCTCCTGGCTGGGATTCTGAGCGGCCTAACTGGCTGGCACCTTCCCTCCGCCCGGCTAGAGGAAGGCCTCGGGCTGTTTTCCTGCCGCTGGGACTCCCCGTCCCTGGTGAGCCGAAGCCCCGCCTGCCCTTGGGCCGCCCACCCCCCTCCGGTCCCCTTTGTGGGAGAAACTGGCCTGACCGGGTCCAGACTACATCTCCCAGCGTGCCCGACAGTGGCGGCCTGGGCGGCGGCCGTGCGGTCTCCGGCCACGATGCAGTGGGCAGCGAGCTGGGCCGCCCCCCTGGGAGTGCGCGGGCGGGCGCTCCCCCGGGCCCCCAGCCGGCGGCTCAGCGGCTCGCAGGTGGGACAGGGGTGTGGGTGCGGGTCCGAGAGGACGGGGAGGCGGGCCGGGGCCTGGGGACTGAGCCGGCCGCCCCGCAGGACCAGGACGGGCTCCGCAGGACGCCGCTCCATGACTTCCACCTGGCCCACGGCGGGAGGCTGGTGGCCTTCGCGGGCTGGCGGCTGCCGCTGCAGTACCGCGACGGCCACGTCGACTCCCACCTGCACACACGCCGCCACTGCTCGCTCTTCGACGTGTCCCACATGCTGCAGGTGAGCGGCCGGCCCCACCGCCCCGCCCGCGGCTCTGTGCGCCCCCCCCCGGACGCCCACCCGCGGCTCTGTGCTGGGGACCGGGCTCCGGCCGCCCTCTCAGAAGGGCTGCAGGCCTCCGGGGGTCGGTGGCTGGAAATGAACTTGCCAGCCTCCCAAGGGCTCCTCTCTGCCTCTGCAGCCGCCCGCCCGCCCAGTGGGAGGCCTGGGTGCCCTGGGGTTTCCCGTGTTCCCCACTGCCCTGGGCATGGGGTTGGGAAGGGAAAGGGCGGTATTTCAGGAAGGTGATGGCCCTTTCAAAGCCCCTAGCCTCCCCCAGGGCACCCTCCTGTGTTGGGAGATCGGAAGTGGGGGACTTTGCACCTGCAGAACCAGAAGGGGCGCTTGGCGGTGGGGCTGGGCCTGGGAGTGGGGAGGAGGATCCTGGCCAGGGGCTTCCTGACTGGAGCCATCTCGGGGCCCTGAGGCCTTTCTCCTTTGTTTGCGTGTTTGTTTTCTTTTTGTCCTGAGGCTTTCGATTTTTTTCTCAGACCAAGATACTCGGTCGTGACCGGGTGAAGCTGATGGAGAGTCTGGTGGTGGGAGATATCGCAGAGCTGAGGCCGAACCAGGTGGGCGCTCTTAGTCCCCCGGCAAGCCCTCCCGTGGGGCCGGGCACAGTGAGGTCAGACACAGCTTTGCAGTCTTGGGGGGTGGAGTCCCGGCGTCATGTCCACCCTCTGCAGGGATGGGCCTGCCCGCGTCCTCCCCTCCTCGGGCTGCGCGTGACCTTCGTGCGCCTGGCCCCGCGCAGTCCCTGAACCACCGCCTCCAGTGCCCGGGGCTTGTCGGGGACACGCCCAGCCCCGCCTGGCAGAGCCGGCATTTAACCAGGTCCCACGTGCGGCGGCCGCGGCGGCCTCAGCACTTCGGGGCGGCAGCCGGGGTTTGGAGGATGGGCCGTCGTCCGGGTTTGGGTGGGGTGGAGCAGCAGTCACTGTGAGGTGGGGCTCTCAGCACTGAGAGGGTGGGGTGCAGAGGCCCCCCCAGTTCAGGGAGGCCCCCAAGGTGAGGAAGAAATAGAGATGTGCTCAGTGCAGAGGATCAAATGCCCGGGCTCACCTTGGCTGGTTTGGCTCAGTGGGTAGAGTCCAGCCGGGAACTGAAGGGTCCCGGGTTTGATTCCGATCAAGGACACATGTGCCTAAACTGCAGGCTCAATCCCCAACCCTTATCAGGGTGTGTGTGGGAGGCAACCAATCCATGTTTCTCTTTCTCCCTCTCCCTTCCACTCTCTGTGGAAAAATGTCCTCCGTGAGGATTAACAACAAAGACATCTGGGCTCCGGCAGGAGGCTGGGTGACCCAGCTACACACACACACATCCTGCCCTGTGCTGAGAGTTCCTGAGTTTGTGGTGGCCGAGTGGCCCCCGGTATGTCTCACACTTGACATTGGCCTTCTGGACCTGGATGCACAGCTCTCGCTCTGGTGCTAGGGGACCCTGTCGCTGTTTACCAACGAGGCCGGGGGCATCTTGGACGACTTGATTGTGACCAACGCCGCCGAGGGACACCTGTACATGGTGTCCAACGCTGGCTGCCGGGACAAGGACCTGGCCCTCATGCAGGTACACAGAGCGGACAGGCAGACTGGCAGGGACAGGGCCCGTCAGGACCTCTGAGCGAATGAGCAGCAGGCTCTGGAGCATGCCCGGCTCCACTGGGCGGTGGGCGGGGAAGCCGAGCCGCCCGAGGTGGGCACGCTCTGGTGAGCGTGGAGGCGGAGCTGGTGCCAGAGCCCGCAGACCCGGGCTTGGGTCACCCCTGCCACTCGCACGGCCTCGTGAGGTGAGAGCCAGCCTGCTCCACGGAGCGCAGCGGCGCCTGGAGATGGTCCTGGAAGCCGACGTGGCTCCCGTCCTCCTGTGCAGGACAAGGTGAGGGAGCTGCAGAGCAGGGGCGGCGACGTGGGCCTGGAGGTGGTGGACAATGCCCTGCTCGCCCTGCAAGGTGAGTGGCCAGGCGGGGCTTCCTGGGCTGGAGCAGAGGCCGCAGCGGGAGGGGTGGCCGTGGGGGGTGAGTGCCTGTTCTAAGCTGGGGGCCCAGGCTCAGTGGGCTACGGGGCAGGCGCATCTTCCTCCCCCTGCAGTGGGAGCCGTGCTCCGGGCTCGTCTGCCCGGGGAAGGGCTGCTGCCCCGGCTTCGGGGCGCGGGGCCTGGAGGCTCAGTCACTGTCCCCGCCCAGGCCCCGCCGCGGCCCAGGTGCTGCAGGCCGGCGTGGCGGGCGACCTGCGGAAGCTGCCCTTCATGACCAGCGCCGTGATGGAGGTGTTCGGCGTGCCCGGCTGCCGCGTGACCCGCTGCGGCTACACGGGGGAGGACGGCGTGGAGGTGGGTCAGGCGGGGGGCGGGGCGGGGCGGCGGTGGACTCGGGCCAGCAGCCCACCGCCCCCGGTGTCCCCGCAGATCTCGGTGCCGGCGGCGAGGGCGGCGCGCCTGGCAGAGGCTCTGCTGGCCAACCCCGAGGTGCGGCTGGCGGGGCTGGCGGCCCGGGACAGCCTGCGCCTGGAGGCCGGCCTCTGCCTCTACGGCAGCGACATCGACGAGCACACCACGCCCGTGGAGGGCGGCCTGGGCTGGACGCTGGGTGAGCTGGGCTCCCGGGGGGGGGTGGGGGGGGGACCCTGAGGGGCAGTGGCCGCCTCCTGAGCCTCATTCCCTGAAGGGCACCGTGGCTTCCCCCGTCAGCCGCCGAGGCCCTGGCTGGGCAGGCCGAGGGCAGCGTGGCCTCCGGGACCAGGGGCCGGGGCCGGGGAGGGACATGGCCCCCGGGAGCCCCGCGCGGGGCGGCACTGGGGCCTCCGGCGGCTCAGGCCTGGTGTCCGCTGCAGGCAGGCGCCGCCGGGCGGCCATGGACTTCCCGGGGGCCGCGGTCATCGTCCCGCAGCTGAAGGGCCAGGTGCCACGGCGGCGTGTGGGGCTCACGTGCGAGGGGGCCCCGATGCGGGCGCACAGCCCCATCCTGAGTGCGGAGGGCGCCGTGATTGGTAGGTGGATGGGGCTGGCCGCCCCGTGCCTCCCCGGGTGGGCGGGCACGCCGGGCGTCGGTGGCGCTGACACGGCTCCGCCCGCAGGCGCTGTGACCAGCGGCTGCCCCTCGCCCTGCCTGAAGAGGAACGTGGCGATGGGCTATGTGCCCCCCGAGTACAGCCAGCCGGGCACCCCGCTCCTGGTGGAGGTGCGGCGGAGGCAGCAGGAGGCCGTGGTCAGCAAGATGCCCTTCGTGCCCACAAACTATTACACCCTGAAGTGAGGAGGGCTTTCCACCCGGGGCTGGTCAGGAAGCTGAGGCAGAACACGAGGGTGTGGGCTGGTTCTGGTTGTCTGGTTGTGGTGGGACACACCACCTACACCCCTCATCCTGTGCCACTTCAGTTTCAAGACCCATTTCTTAGTGACGGACCAGCTCACCAGTGTCTTGTTTCTGCCCACGCTCCCGCGGACCCACTCTTGCCTGCTAGGGCTCCGAGCAGCACCAGTCCTGGCCTTCCCTCTGCCTCAAAGCTCCCCTGTGGGAGGATCGAGCCTCCCGACCTACCTCACCAGGGTTCTCACACTTCAAAGGGGCATTGCCAGTCTCCTCTGGTTTACTTCCCAGGAGTGCAAACTGCTGCCTCTCCCTGGGCAGGGCTGGCTCAGTAGGCTGCTGCGCCTGTGGGTGATTGAGGGGCACAAGTTGGCCCAGCCTGCTGCCCAGCAGTCAGCCAGCCAGGCTCACCACTGTCCTGAGCCCCGGCTGCTGGAGGGCAGGATAGGCCTCCTCCGGGCTTGCCTTCCCTGGGCTGGCCTGGGCCCCTTGGCCTCCACTGACCCTAACAACATTAAACGAGCCTCCTTCTTGCCTGCCGAGTCCCGCTTCACTGTCCTCTGCCCACAGGGCTCCTGGGGTGCCAGCCCAATGCTTGCCTTCCTGCCTCTGGGACAGGCTCGGGGTTCCCCTGGAGAGGGGCAGGTCTAGAACTAACGGGATAGTACCGTGTTGGGCACCCCACACTACTTTAGGGAGCTGGCATCAACCCCCCAACTTTGCAAGTCACTAAATTCTGGGTGCTGAGGGGCAACAGCCCTGGGGTATCCTCTCCCGTTTCCCCTGTGCATGCTGCCCTTGGCCTTCTGAGTAACCAGACAACCAATGCACGTCCATGTTTAATCCGCCACATCCTCACTAGGCCTCCAGTGGAATGGGAGGCCCTCACCCTGGTGGTGTCAGTGGTCACCTGGGCTGCTGAACCATCACCCTGCAGCAGCGGTGTCTGCAGTAAGCACCCGGCAGGAGCTCGGCGCCCTGGCAGACGTCTAGGCACAGGCGGGCGGATGGGAAGGGGACAGGTCTAGGCCACAGGCCTGGGGGAACTGGCCTTTGCCACCCCTCCCTTGGGCAGCCCTTGGCCTGTTTGGGAAGTGGCAGGCCTTCACAGTTCTTGGGGGCTGCGATGGCACTAGAGGGAGCCCCCGCTCTTAGGATGAAGCTCCTGTGGTTCCAGGTCAAGATGGGCAGTGAGGAGGCTGCGGGAGGGGCTGCCTGCACCAACTGCTTAGGATCCCCCAGAGGGGCAAGACCCACCACCCGGGGCACTTAGCACCTAAGTGTTGAGGGTGGGAAGTCACCCTGGGCTCAGCCTCTCAGCACCTGGCAGAGAGGCACCAGCTTCCCTCCAAGGACAGCGGGGTAGGAGTATGGTGCTCAGGGTAAGACAGTGCCCATAGCCTGCTCGCACCTGGAGAGCTCAGATGGGACCAGAAAGTGGGTGCCTGGTGCCTCCATGTCTGGATGGTGCCAGCTGCCCCTGCCTTGGACTTGAGTGGCCAACTAAGTACCCATAGGGTATAAGGCTGTGTCCAGGCCAAGATTCCTAGATCCTTGCCAACACAGCAAGACCAAATTCAGAAAACCTGGGCTTAAGTGAAAACAGACTTCCCTTACAAATCCCAGGGCTAGTCAACCTCAGGCTTCGTGAGGGACAAATCCCTGTGGGTCACTCCCAGGGGGATGGGAAGAGGGACAGGAAATGGACTGTGGCCTTCCTCACCCAGAGGCTCCTCCTGACCCCGAGAGAGCAGCAGGGCTCTCCTAAGGCACCAGGTCAGGGGGAGGCGAACTTCACTGGCCCAGGGCCTGGGGCGCTGGAGGAAAAGCCAGGGGCAGTGGGCGCCCAACACAAGCACTGGGGTACTCCCTACCCCCCAACCCGGACCCCCTGCAGTCATCCCTGGGATCTGGGCAGCAGGAGAGCCCAGAGTGGGAGCCAGCAGACCCGGTGATGTCCCTGGAGACCCTTCGGCTGCCTCCCCTTATTCTCTGTGGGTTTTGAGAGGCTCGTTTGCTGCCGTTTCCCTAAAGGGGATGGAGAGGAGAGAGGGTTACTCGGCGGGCAGCAGCACAGGCCCCGAGGTCCATCTTCTGCTCCTCCTGGGGCCGAGTGGAGCTCATAAACCCACACAAAACCCAAACCTCTGCTGAGCCCCCACAGCCCACGCCAGGCCCACCCCCTTCCCAACAGACTCCTCCCCCCTCGGGAAGGCACTCCCATCCCTCCCCCTTGGCCCAAGGAGAGTGTAGCTCTCCTTGCCCTCTCTAACTGGACCCCTTTATGTCCTTGCCACAAAGCAGGCAGATAAAAAGCAAATCAGATTAGCCACGGCCCGATCGTGACTCAGTCCTTCAATAGCTCCCGAAGTCGGGGCCAGGGTGGGGACCCTTCTGTCCGGGGCCATGTGGGGATGTATAACCCCTCTCACGGGCCAACAGAATGACCAACCTACAAATTACCCGCTGTTTGGTCACACACTTCACCAACTCATCCCAGTGCCCTGGCAGGCCCAGACGTTGCCCACCCTGGCCAGGGCTTTGCAGGCCCCTGCAGGCCTTCATGTTGGAGCTCCAGCATCACAGTCCGGGCCTCTGGGCCTGTTCTCACCGCTGTCTCTGTGGACACTTCAGCACTCCCCGGCCTTTGCCCTCAAAGTCTCAAGAGAAACCTCTAACCACCTTCATCCCTGCACAGCTACTCCCCCCCCTCCCAAATCTCTGGCTCCCCTGTAAGCAGGGCCTGGGTCCCTGCCAGGTGGTAGGAGCCCCGAAATTAGCTGAAAGAACCCCTGATGAAGGAGCTCCCGTGTCCCAGGTGGGCAGTTGATCCTGACGAGGCCAGTCCGTGCAGGACAGAGGCCGCCTCTCCAGCGGAGGGCCTGCAGGCCAAGGCACTCGCCATGTCATCTCTGAGATCGGGAATGGCACGGTCCCCCCCGCAGGGTGCGGAACAGCAAACTGACTGTCCCCACGTCCTGGCACCTGACACCTGAGCTCCACTTGCTGAGCTGCTAAGCTGGAGGACACCTGCCCTGAGAACTCCCTCCCGGTCCCCGGCACAGGCGTGCCCCTCTGCCTGCCCGGCACGGGGTTGAGGTGGGAACAGACACTCACCACGAAGGGAAATGCGTGGAGCCATCGGGTGTGGATTCGTTCTGGCCGCCCAGACCTGGGGGCAGGAACACATCCAGAGCTGCAGCGGCCAGGGGGGTCAGAGCAGGCCTCACCCCGGCAGGTGAGAGGCTATGGTGTTTGGAGGAGAGTCTGGCGGGGGCTCTAGGGAACTAGTGTGTTGTCACTAGTGTGGTGAGGGTCCAAAAGGGAGTTATAACGTGACGGGCGGACTACTGGCGTTTCTTGCGTGGACTGGTATGTTGGCGTGGGTCAGAGGAGAGCGTCAGGTTGCGATACGGTTCTTTGGGGGCCCATGGCAGTCTACGGGGGCTCTGGGGAGCCCGGCGGCGCACTCCGCGGGGCGTGAGGGCGGCCAGCGCACGGAGGGCGGTGGGGGCCTCACCTGGGCGGTGGTACAGCCCGGTCACCGTGCTCCCGTAGAAGCCCCACGCCAGCTGGACGCACAGGAGGCTCAGCACCAGCCACAGCAGCAGCAGCTTGAAGAGGGTCACACGCATGTCCTGCGCCTCCCACTCGCGCAGGAACTCGCTGCCCAGGGCGCCCAGGGCGCCCAGCGCCGTGGCCGGCAGAGCCTGCAGGGACTGCCCAGCCCAGGACTCCGCCATGACGGACCCGCGCCCCACCCGGAGGGCTGTCACCTCAGCCCCCACTGCGCAGGCGTCTGGTCTTCCGGGGCCAAGCCCGTTGGGCGCACGCGCCAGCCAGGCAGGCCGGGCCCAGCTCGCCTGCGCGCAGAGTTGGCAGTTTGGGAGGGGTAGCGGGACCGCGCACGCGCACCAAGCGCCGCCCCGCTCGCTTAAAGGACCGGTGACTCGGGGAGCACAAAATAGCAACCAGGTCTTTTATAGCCCCCGAGTTCCCGTGATGCCTCGCGCGGCCGCCGGGATTGGTCCAGCGCCCGGCGTGGAGGGCGGGGACGCTCTCCGGAGCAATCGCGGCCCGGCTGGGAGCGCGCGCGCGTGCGCGGGGCCACGACCGCGTCCAGGCCGAGCCCGCCGGGCACGCGGGGGCGCGCACGTCGCTCCCCGCCCGCCCTGCGCCGCGCGCCCGCCCTCGCTCGCTCGCTCGCGCTCCCCGCCCGCCGCCCGCCGTCCTCCGTCGGTTCTCTCGTTAGTCCGCCGCCTCCTGAGCCGCCCGCCCTCGCCTCCGAGCTCGGGACCCGCGGACCGGCGTCGTCGGCGCGGAGAGGCCGGAGTCGGAGCGTCTCCCGAGGTGAGTGAGAGGGTTTCCTCCAGGCGCCGCGGCGCCCCGGGCCCGCCCCGCACTCTTCCGGCCGCCCGCCCGCCCGCCCGCCGCCCGCCGCCCGGCCGCGGCCGCGCCCCACCTGCTGCTCCGAGCCGGCCGCCCCGGCCCCTGACCCGGACTCCGGGCCCTTTCCCCGAAGCCGCGGCTCCGCCCGCCCGGTTCCCGGAAGCGCGCCGGCGCCTCCCGCGCCCCGGCCCCCGCCCGCCGCGCCCGGCCCGGCGCTTCCCCTCCGCGGCCGCGGGCGGGGGTCCGGCCCGGGCTGAGCCGCCGCCGCTGCCCGGCGCGCGTGGCCGTGGGAGTTGAAATGGGAGAGAAACTCTTTACAACTCCATTTTGTCTCACATGTAACGTGAAACGTGAATCACCGGCTGGCATTGGGTGAAGTCCGGCTGTGTTTTAGGCAGGCTTTTTGTTTTTCGTGCTGTTTTCTTAGAGGTTGTGTGAGTAAAAGACGGTTTTGGGATCTTAGGGCTGAGGGCTCTGCAGAGAAGGGGATCACCCATGGAAGCCATTTTTCGTGATTTAAGTAATTTATGCCTCATCCAGATAGTGCTAATTTGCAGCTCTGCTCAGTCTCAGTGACCGCCCAGACCAGGCCCCCCAGCGTCGCCCTCGGTCACCAGCCTGTTTGCACGCAAATGGACTCGGTGGGAACCACGTTCATTCGTTGGTGGTGGAAAACGGGCATCTGTTAACCTCGGGGTTGGTTCCAATTGTGTTTTTTTAGTGGTCCTGATTAAAATTCATTTTTTTTACATTTTTACTTATTGACTTTTAGAGAGAGACATTGATTTGTCCCACTTATCCATCTATTCATTAATTGTTGGGTGTATGTTCCCTGACTGGGGGGGGGTCAAACCCCAAACCTTGGCTGTCTGGACGCACCGGCCGGGGCCTGATTGAAAACTTGGACCTCTGTTGGTGACGGGTTTGCTTCCTTTGTGTCTAAGGCAGCCTTTTGAAGTAACTTGCAAGTGTGTAATCAGGTTATATTCCTCCCTGCCAGATCTGAATGGGGGGAAAAATACTTTTTAAAAAATGTCTTTTCTTGTTGTAGAGGGTGAGACATGTTCAGCCACTCAGTGCTGCTCGCCGGCTGTGTGACGTGTGTGTGCAGTTGCATGATGGCCCCTTTAAGACATGGCTAAGTTGGTGGAGATGTGGTTCTGAGCGTTTGGCACGAGTGGCATTGTTCAGGCTGAACGCACAGGACAGTTATAAAGGGTAACTCCTGGACGGATCGCTCGCGATGAGTTGTCTCGAGCTAGTTGTCTCGAGCGGAGTTCCGTCCCCTGGCGTGGAGCGCTGGTGGCTCATAGGGACGGGACAGAAACTACATCAGCTGGAACCTGCTTTGAGTCACAACCTAGTCCTGGACTCACAGCCTCTGTTCTCATAAAAACCCGCAGCGGGAGGAGGAGGAGAGGAGGAATGAGCTTTTTCGTGGATCCAGAACACGGGACGGAAGGGAATCTGCAGGATTCCTCGCCCAGCCCCGTTTGCAGATGAGGAAATGAGGCTTCAGAGGCTTAAGTAAATTTCTTAAGTCATGTCTAGTCAGGTTCAGGCCACAACTATTTTCCTGCGAGGGGTTCTCTGTGCGCTCCCAAGCGGCTTGCTCAGAATCAGCTATAGCTCGAGACTCGGCGGCTTAATCCCGGGTTTTCTCCGTTTGGATGTTGCTGGTGTTACACACGTTGGGAAACTGAAGATTTCCTTTTCCAAACAAACGTCAGTGACGGCGGTCCTGTAGCAGCTGATCCAGACAGACAAATGAATATGTGCCCGCCCCTGCCTCGTCCTGGCCCGAGGCTTGGGTCTGTTGAGGCACCAGCTTCTTCCTCACGGAGTCCCAGCTTCCCTGCTCCAAATGCAACATCATTTTTGATTTTTAGGTCAGGCTGAGATGTTATCGGGCAGCTTTGTGCTCGTTTGGTGATTGACTTTGAGATAGAACGGGGAGACACTACATATATCGTGTAAATAGTTCCTGTGTGTGTGGTGGTGGCTTCGGTGGAGTATTTCCATAGTCTGATTCCATCTTTTTCAGTTACTTCTTTTAGAAGCTCGTCCTGGTCACGCGGTTGTAAGCTGCCAGGAGAGTGAACACAGGTGGACCTTCAGGTGTTTCCTGTCTGCGGGCGGAGTCCCGGCAGTGGCCGGAGGAGGAAGTGGTTGCTGCTCTTTGGGTGGTATTAGTCCCAGAGCCGTGAGGCTGTGTTAGCGCTGTCAGGCGACAGCTCAGCTTCTAAGAGACCCGGTGTGGGCAGCTGGGCTTCCGCGGACACACCTGGGCTTCCTCGCATTCTGGCTGCTAGTGATGGTGATGAGTGGTACCTACCTGCTGGATCTGAGTCACATGCTTGTAGTTTTCAAAGGTCCCTGAGTGTCTTGTCTTCCCTTGCCACTCGGTCTATCCTTCAAGCACCTAGCCAGTGGAACTCGGTCTGCCTGTCCCTGCACGTTAATGTAGCCACATTTACACTTGAGTCGGTGTGTCTCACTCTGCTCCGGAGGATTTTGGGGACATGCTCACTGTTAAGTACGCATGGGATTAGTACACGAAAATTTCCAAAACAGTTTAAAGTTATTAATTACTGTGAAATTCTTATTTCAAGTGTTTCTATTTCAAGTGATTTATTTTTAATCGGGGGCTGTAGTAATAAGTGACAGCCTTGTATGCTCATAATTATGGTAGTCACGTGACTGAAAATCAGATAGGCATTGAAGCTGCTTATTTTGGGTGTTGGTCTGAATTTATTGGTACTTCATCCAGATGATTCTGAATACATATTTATAGCTAATAATCATCAGAATATGAGAGATACACTCTGTTACATTGCAGCCACTTTGCAGTTTACACCAAATTGAGCTTGATTATTTTAAAGAGGGTTGGGAAAGTAAATATATTTAATAAGCATATTTATCATAATATCTAAATATTCAAGTGAAGGGGAAGAGAACATAAGTAGTCAGTGAAATAGGTTTGGAGTAAAGAGAAAAGTGAGAGAGAAAATGAAATTAGAAAGATGGCAGGGACCAGTCATGTATAGCTTTTAGAACATGGGAAGTTCTTCAGATTTGTTCTGAGATGAGAAATTAGATGTTTTCTTTTTGAGAGGAATGTTATGATCTGATGTTAAACAAGTGGCTAGAATTAAGCCATTGACTTTTCCGACAGTTGGACTTTGGCCTGTGGTTTCTCTGTAGAGCCAGCAGAGAAAGGAAATGCAGGTGGACAGCGCAAGTCAGGAAGGTGTGTCTGGTGGTCCGGCTGGGAGGGACGCAGGTGTCCACCGTTAAATTCTTTTAATGGCTGTGTGTTTGAACATTTTTATAATAATAAAGTTGGGAAATTAATTTACATAGGATTTATTTGCTTTAAAGGGGCAACATTCATTTGTAATGTCCAGAAAATAAGGTTGGTTGTGTAGATTATGCTAAGTGAAGGACACCAAGACTTGTATAAATGTGATACATTTTTATGGTCTGTCCATTAAAAATTAAATTTTGCACTTTTTTCTTCTCTTGAATTCTAAATTACTTCGTGGAACTTCGGGCAAGCCCATTTACATATTGTATTTTTTTTCTTGTGAAATGAACAGCATAATACCTGATTTTTTAAATGTTTTTATAGTGCCTTTCGCCTGGGAAGTTCAAGGCCCTTTGCAGCACTTCTGCCACAGGCCGCGCGCGGGTCCTGCAGCACGTTTGTAAGGTACGTGAATGGAGCCTCTTTCCTTCTCCTGCCCCGGGGAAGAGAGGTGATTACACCGTGCGTTCACGTAAATGCCAGGGAAACGGATTTCACTGCCGGGACTTCCTCTCCACCCTGTGAGAGCTGTCTCCTCCCACAACTTTCTCTTCCGTCTGCCCTACCTCTCCCCTAGGTAGTCCTCTCACTTCCTTTTTCTCTCAGAAACCTTCTTCCTTAGGAAGGTACATTTCCTGACCTCTTTCTTCATCTCTAAGGAGGTGGACTCAGCAGGTTACTCACACACTTTTCTTACTTTGGACCATTCCTCCCATCCTGTTTTTCCCGCCTGTTTATTTTGTTTTTGTTAATCCTCACCCGAGGGTGTTTTTCCCATTGCTTTTCAGAGAGAGTGGAATGGGAGGATGGGGGGCAGGGAGAGAGAGAGAAGCATCGGTGTGAGGAACACATTAGGGCGGGGATCAAACCTGCAACCTGGGCACACCCCTCAACCTTGTGTGCGGGGCTGCTGCTCTTACCACCCTGCACACCAGCCAGCCCGTGTTTAAGTTTTCATTTTCTGGATTGCGTAGTTTGGTCATCTGACAGATGATGGCAGCCTGTGCTGTGGGTACATCTAATTATCAACACAAAATGAACCAGTTAGAGAACGAGAACCAGGACAGTCCTCCCCAGAAGAGTCCGCAGTAGCAGTGTCCTGGCCTGCAAGGGAGCAGTGTTGACAGCAGGTACCACGGCCCATCTCACAGCTGTTCAGTATCTTAACCTGATTACCGATAGGGAACGAGGCTTTAATTTAATGGACGCCGTGATGAGTGTCCTGGCCTGGCACCATTTGGACCACCTTTTCCTGTTTTGCTTGGATGGAGGGCTCTCTGTGGGGACATTTCTAAGGTGATTCTCGTTTGATGAGGTGGGCTGCATCATGTGACAGGGAAGGCCTCTGATGGCCGTGGATTCGTTTGGCTTTGAACTCTCCTTTAGTATGTGAGGGATGGCCACGCTAGTTGGTACTTTTTCCATTACTTACTCCCTTAACAAGTAGTTATACAGAATAGCTACCGTATGCCAGGCGCATGTGCCCTGACCAGGAGTCGAAGCTGCCACGTTTCGGCATGGGTCCGTGCTCAACCATTGAGCCACACCCGCGGGGCTGATTTGGTAGTTATGTTTGGTAGTTATGATTTGGTAGTTATGTAAATTAAAGGCAAATTATACCTTTAATTAGGGGGAATAATGAAAACAAAACACGCACAAAACTTTAGAGTTTTGTGTTTAGAGTTCTTTGTGAAAAGTTCCTTTTTGGATGAAGTCTCAGATTTTTAACTCTTCCAGTTATTGAGAAAGACCTCTATCTTTTGAAGGTCTTAAGTTCAGAAAAGAAAGGCAGGAGAATATCTTAGGTGAGATCATGGACTCTGCAGAGAGCTGACAGTTAAGTGCTAGTTCTTACACTCGGTAGCTTATGGCTCTGATGGTAATGTGACCGATGTTACTCTGTTTCTTGTCTGTGGATGGGTGTGATGGAGTCTGTGAGGGCTCACAGATCTTGGGGGCAGGGGTGGGGGAGGTGGAAGAGGGCAGAGGGGAAAAGGGAAAGAGTCACACATCTCTAATATAAGAATTATATTAATATAATTTGGAAGAGCGTTTGTTTGTTTTTGGTGTCATTAAAGTGTTTCTGGTATCCAGCTGGTAGGGACGTTGTGTGGGAGTAGTGTCCTAAGAATGAGGTCTTGGGGAAATATGATCGAGCTCACCACTGGCTCACTGATGCTGAGGAACAGTGGTTCCCAAACTGTTGGTATCCAATTCCCCAAACTGGAAACGTTTTGGAAAGTTGTGGGGTTTTTAAAATACACTTTTATTGATAGGAGTGAGTGGGGGGAAGAAAGGGAGGAGGGGGGGGGAGAAACATGGATCATTTGCCTTCCTCACACACCCTGACTGGGGATTAAACCCACAACCTGGGTATGTGCCCTGACTGGGAATCAAACCAGTGACCTTTTGAAGCCTGAGACTGTGCTCCAACCACCATACCACACTGGCCATGGCAGAAAGGTGTGTGTGTGTGTAATTTTTTTTTCATTCACCTTTATTAAAGGTATTATTTGCATACAACAAATATACTCATTTAAATAGTTTGGCAGTTCCTTATAGAGAACGACTGCTCAGCCAGCGCTGCTCTGCGGTTGAGCATCAACCTATGAACCAGGAGGCCATGGTTCAATTCCTGGTCAGGGCACATGTCTGGGTTGCAGGTTCGATCCCTACTGTGGGGTGTGCAGGAGGCAACTGATTGATGATTCTCTCTCATCATTGATGTTTCTCTCCCTCTTCCTCTCTGAAGCCAATTTAAAAACATACACACACACACACACACACATATATATATATATATATATATATATAGAGAGAGAGAGAGAGAGAGAGAGAGAGAATATGTAACAATATGACCCAGCAATTCCATTCCTAGATATATACCCAAAAGAATTGAGAACAGGTACTTGAACAAACACTTGTACATAAATGTTGAAAACACTATTCATACCCAAAAGGTGGAAACAATCCAAAGTTCATCAACAGGTGGAATAGTATTCAGCCCCTTAAAGAATGGAGCTCTGATTCGCCTCACCATGTGGGCCTCGGAAGTAGTGTGCTAAGTGAGAGAAGCCAGAGACCAGGCCACGTGCTGTGCGGTTCCATTTGTGTGCAGTGCCCAGGACAGGTATGTCCATAGAGACAGAAAGCGCATTGCGGGGGAGGGAGAGGGGGGTGTGAGGGCTGTCTGCTTAGTGGGTGTGGAGTTTCTTTTGTGCTGAGATTTTGGACCGAGGTAGTGTTGGTGTAACATGCACAACATTGCTAATGCACTAAGTATCACTGAAATGGCAAACTGTGAAACAGTGAACTTTATATTATGTGAACTTCACCTCCGTTAAAAAAGGAAGTTTTAAATAGAGCTTCGGTCTTCTCATTGTGGAGGCTGACGATAGATGGTGGTGCAGAATGCATGTGCCTGGCTGTGCATTGTCAGCGTTGGGTACCTCGGTGGGGCCGCCTCTTAGTACCCTCTTCTCGGCCGGCCCGGCCGTGGAGAGCGGCCGCACAGAGACATCCTGGGCCTGGGCATCCTGTGAGCGTAACCCCCAGAGGCACTGGCGATGGCTGACGGGAGGCCAGAAAGTTTGTCCCTCAGGAGTGTTCCTGCCCTTCCCCTCCCAAGGAGCTGAAGTCTGGGTGTCTCACTGGCGTTACACTGGAGGCTTTGTCACTCCGCTGCCGGCCTGTGGTGCCCTAGGCACACCGCTCCCTCTCCAAGGGCCCTGGCTGGCATCGCCCCTTGGCAACCACTCCGTCAAGATGGCCAGTAATCCAGGCTCAAGCTCGTTACGAACACGACAGATGGCGGAGGGAGCCTTTTGCCAGAGGTTGCCTCTATTTGTAAATAAATGGTTTTCTGTTTCAGTGTAATTTCCCGCGGTCTTGGTGGCGGGTGCCGCTCTGGGTGTGGGTGAGCCTGGGTTGATGGGATAGGTTTCTGCCCACTGCGCTGAAACAGCTTAACTCCAGTGGAACCGCATTTCTCACACTCAGGTCTCCCGGAAGGTTGTTGGAGACCTGAATCATTTTCCCATTAGAAATAATGTCGATTGAATTCATCTGTTCCAGACCCCCCAAATGATTCCGTTTTAACTTTTCTTACGTGTCTATTGTACTGTTTAATCTTTAAACACTTTAAAAGCAAAAAGGACATGAAAGGTAAATGAAAATTTAACGGAAAGGAAAGGTATAGTCAGAGATGAAAATTTAATAATAATTACAAGCAGCAACAAAAGCAATAAAATGCGAAAATATTCACAGCACAGTATCCCGAGGTTTTAACAGTGTTGAACTGACTCATATTCCCGAATTCTGTCCTTTGTTAGCTGAGAGATGTGTGACTGATCATACCGGTAAGGTATCGGCATGGAAGGGTTGTTGGGCTGAGAAGTGAATTGTTTGAGATGGAGTCATTGGAGGAACTTTATCATGATTTTCTTCTGACTTAGTGAAGAGTATTTCCTATTCACTTGCCTGGCCAGCGTGGTCGAGCATGGACTTATGAACCAGGAGGTCGCGGTTCGATTCCAGGTTGTGGGCTCAATCCCCAGTAGGGGGTGTGCAGGAGGTAGCTGATCCATGATTCTCATTATTGATGTTTTTCTCCCTCTCTCTTCCTCTCTGAAATAATTAAAAAATATTTTTTAGCCCCAGCTGGTTTGGATAGCGCATCAGCCTGCTAACTGAAAAGTCCTGGATTCGATTCCAGTCAGGGCATATGCTCCAGCTTGTGGGCTTGGTCCCCAGTGTGGGGCATGCAGGAGGCAGCCCATCCATGATTCTCTCTCATCATGGATGTTTCTCTCTCCCTCTCTAAAATCAATTTAAAAAAAAAAAAAAAATATGCCGAGACCGGTTTGGCTCAATGGATAGAGCGTCGGCTTGGGGACTGAAGGGACCCGGGTTCGATTCCGGTCAAGGGCATGTACCTTGGTTGCGGGCATATCCCCAGCAGGGGGTGTGCAAGAGGCAGCTGATCGATGACTCTCTCTCATCGATGTTTCTAACTCTCTATCCCTCTCTCTTCCTCTCTGTAAAAAATCAATAAAATATATTAAAAAAAAATAATAAAAAAAAATAAAAAAAATATATATATATATATATATATATATATATATTCAATATTTTATTGATTTTTCACAGAGAGGAAGGGAGAGGGATAGAGTTAGAAACATCGATGAGAGAGATACATCGACCATCTGCCTCCTGCACACCCCCTACTGGGGATGTGCCTGCAACCAGGGCACATGCCCCCGACCGGAATTGAACCCGGGACCCCCCAGTCCACAGGCTGACACTCTATCCACTGAGCCAAACCGGTTTCAGCTAAAAAAAAACATTTTTAAAAAATACTTCAGCCCTAGCTGGTTTGGCCCAGTAAATAGAGCAGTTGGCCTGTGGACAAAGGGTCCCGGGTTCGATTCAAATTAAGGGCATGTGCCTCAGTTGCAGGCTCTAACTAAGCTAGCTGCTTTAAAGCGTGCTTCGTTTGGAGCGGGTGTCTTCTCTTTTCCTGTCCTTTGTGTCCAGGCGTTAACCTTCCAGGTGTAACGATTAAGTCTGTCATCCTAAAGGATTTTTTAAAATATACGTATTTTTATTGATTTCAGAGAGGAAGGGAGAGGGAGAGAGAGAGAGAGAAATAGAAACATCAGTGATGAGAGAGAATCATTGATTGGCTGCCTCCTGCGCACCCCCTGCTGGGGATCGAGCTCGCAACCCAGGTTTATGCCCTTGACCAGAATTGAGCCCGGGACCCTTCAGTCTGCAGGCCGATGCCCTCTCCATTGAGCCACACCAGCTAGGGCCTCCTAAAGGATTTTTGAGTCCATCTTTGAAGCTGTTGCTCCACTCTAGGACTCTGGCTGGTCTGAATGACACTTCCCTCCCTCCCCATTTTACATTTCTGAGCCCAATTTACAGGGTTTTCTGTCTCCTGCATTCTTGTCAAAGGCTGTACCTCTTTTCACCCAAGCATGTATCTGTCTAAATTACTGTGAGCTGATCTACTGGCCAGTTAGGCTTAGACAGTTGTCTAAAGTAAGAGCCAATGAGTTTAGAGGAGGTTCTGTTTGGTAGCACTCCTTGTTACAGATTGTTGACATTTCTGATTCTTATACTAATAAAGCAAAGTGCTGTGGGAGGTAGACTCACCGCTAGCATGCACAGCTGGTCGTGTTGTAACTGTTCTCTTCTTGTTGTTTATTAGATTTTTAAATTGAATTTTAGAGAAGGGTGTGAGAGAAACATCGATGTGAGAGTGAAACATGGATTGGCTACCTCCTATATGCCCCTTACCGGGAATCGAACCTACAACCCTTCGTGCTCTAGATGATGCCACAAGGACCAGGGCCGACTTTTCTTTTTTAGTTTTCTTCCTTTATTGATTTTCAGAGAGAGAGGAAGGAAGAGGGATGGAGAGATAGAAACAGCAATGAAAGGAAAACATCACCAAGCAGCTGTTTCCTAGCGCCCATTCCCCCAGGGGATTGAACCAGCATCCTGGGCATGTGCCCTGACTGGGAATCAAACCCGTGATTTATTGATTCATGGGTTGATGCTCAACACTGAGCCACACCAGCCGGACCTTCCTTATTTTTTATTGATTTCAGAGAGGAAGGGAGAGGGACAGAGAGATAGGAACCTTAATGATGGGAGAGAATCATCGATTGGCTGCTTCCTGCACACCCCCTACTTGGAATCAAGTCTGGAACCCGGGTATGTGCCCTTGACCAGAATCAAACCTGGGACTCTTCAGTCTGCAGGCCAGTGCTCTATCCATTGAGCCAAACTAGCTAGGGCTGGGCCTTCTTTATAAAATCTGCATGCAGCCAAAACCGGTTTGGCTCAGTGGATAGAGCGTCGGCCTGCGGACTGAAGGGTCCCAGGTTTGATTCCTGTCAAGGGCATGTGCCTTGGTTGCGGGCTCATCCCCAGTAGGAGCTGTGCAAGAGGCAGCTGATTGATGATACTCTCTCATCGTTGTTTCTAACTCTATCCCTCTCTCTTCCTCTCTGTAAAAAATCAATAAAATATATTTTAACCCTTTGCACTCCGCCGTCCCCTCTCAGGGGACATCGAAATTCTAGCATATCATGCGGATGTCCCCTTTCAGGGGGGACAGTGCAGTTTATTAGTGATTACGGGGAATTGAGTTAATTCAGCGCACGTGTCCACCGCAAAGTAGCGTCGAGTAGCTGGTAGCCAATGTCCAGAGTGGTTCGGAGTGCAAAGGGTAAAATAAATAAATAAAAAATAAAATAAAATCTGCGTGTAGCACATTAGTTATATAGTTTCTTGGCTCCTGGAAATTTATTTTTTCAAATTTGTTATTTGAAAATTATTCTGTGCTTGTCAGAATAAGACAGGTATTATTATACCAGTGGAGTTTGGCAGGAAGGACTTTGGAGAAGTGTAAAGAGTGGGCAAGAGCCCTAGCAGGTTTGACTCAGCGGTTAGAGCATTGGCTTGC